TTGGCAGGTTGAAGTGAATTTTATCTTTGAAATAAACTAGCGAGAACGAATTCACTRCAGAAACACTACMTGATTCATGYAATGATGAGAGAGCCTTTTTTTCCMCAAGAAGGCCMTGGCGGCATTCTGTTGGCACCTGGTGTGGCACTACATCCAAGTGGACGCATGAGAGAGAGAGAGAGAGAGAGAGAGAGAGAGAGAGAGAGAGAGAGAGAGAGAGAGAGAGGGAGAGAGAGAAGAGAGTGCAAGGACAGGGAGCGTGGAAAGAGAGGAGGGCTTGAGGTTGCCCGGGCAATGTACACTCCGTGATTTTACTTTTTTTATTACTATTTACAACAAAAAAAAAAAAGGGGGAGAATGCTTCTGACGCGGAACAGTAAATACTCGAGAACAAGGCTGATCTGAGATTTCGTGCCGCGTCAAGGAACTGTAAATTTTTATTGAGCAAGATGACTCGTGAAGTTTGACGATCCTACGGGGGATGAAGTAAGCCTTCAGTGTGCAGGGATGACAGACCACTTTTAACCCCCAACCCCTACTGGTCGCCGAGGACCTCGGAAGCGGGCGCGGCGAGTGACAGGCGCCGTCGCCCTTGGCTTCGGCGAACAGTAGGTGCCCCTCCCCGGGTTTCCTAACATCGCTACCGACGCGTGGTGAGGAGAGCGACCACTACAACGCCCAAACAGAGGAGAACAACGACGGCGAACAAAACGAACACGGACACAATCATAAACAAGCCCCAGAGGAACATGCGCGAACCAACACCCCCCCTCTCACGGTCACCGATGTCGATGACGATCACCGTCGTGCCGGTCGAATCTCGCAGGCACCGACACGGACAAGCCCTGCCATCACCCACAACACGATTTTGTGCAGCAGCCGTGCCAGTCGATAGTGGCAGGTGTGCGGCGTTCGGCCGTGCATAAAGAGTCCCCGCAACAGCCACGTCCCGGTTTGTCAGCCCTTTCTCGACGATCCGCCCTCGACCGCCACAACGTTCAGCTGCATGCGTGATGTCGTTCGCTTCAGGCAGGAAGCTTCTACCGACGACACTCCTGATGTTCGGGCGAACAGCACGCACAACGCTCCCAACTTCCACAGCACCAAGGGAGGGCACATGGGTGGACAATGCTTGACGGCTGGAGGGGATGGATTTGTGAAGTGGTACTCAAACACACCGACCACGTCCCCACAGCGGTTGCACATCCGCCACAAGCCCACGACGCATGAAGTCACCCGCGAGACCATGCACACGTCGGCCAACCGATGGCCATGGCACAATGCGCCAACGGAGATGGCGGACTACGTTCATGGGAGGCGCACGACAGCACCGTTGATCCACGACTCCACGACACGACAGACCAGCAGAAGCCAGGTGTCGGGTACAATAGCAAATGGCCGTCGTGAACGTGCACATTGGTGGAAGTTCCTTGCATCCGTGTACTGCTGACGACAACGCCGGGCGCACCCCCGTTCGAATTTGAATTCGAATTCAAAATGGCGGGGCCACAACCGCCCGTTTCCTTCCCCGCTCCGAGGGACCAACAGCCCTGGGCCCGTTTTCGACGTGCGACGCATGTCCTGCCTGCTCACTGCTCCACGACCGGGCTAGGACAAGGGGTCGGGCACTTGCTGGTCCAAACGGTGGGCGTGACTTTGGAAAGTACCCCGCGCACTCCCTCCCCCAGTCTCAACTTTCGGCCCAAAATCGCGGCGAGATGTCCTCCGGAGCCACTTTTCCACGCCGCGGACGATGTGGAAAAGATGGAAAGCGTTCTTCCACGCCATTATTTGCGGGTTGTGGGGTCTCGGAAACCGGTATTTGGAAGATATTCGGTTTTGCCAGAACATCCTGCGCTGCATGTGGGGTCCCGGAAACAGTTTCGCGGAAACATTCTTCCTTTCCGCATTCCTGTGGGGTCCAACTCTATGTAAGGAAACACACACCTTTAGAAAAAAAGAGGATAATTTTGCAAAATACCCCCATCAGCTGAGATATATGCCAAAATGACCCTGAAAGATGTGGGTAGAGCGGAATGCCCTTTTGGGCGAAAATCTTTTTGTCATGCCCTTGTCAGGCCGGTGTGCAAATTGCAATCTGGAGTCTGGACCTCCCCGTGTGGGACTTGCCCTTTGCAATAGAGCCTGGAAAAAGCTGGCAAGAACCAGGGCGTTTTGCAAATTTGGACGGTACCCAATAAGGATATAATGCAAACATGGGGGCCCAACCAAAGCAAGGGGTATGTCAGAGGGGCATTCCGCTCTACCCGCATCTTTCAGGGACATTTTGGCATATCTCAACTCATGGGGGTATTTTTGCAAATTATCCCTCCCCCAAAAAAACAAACAAAAAACCGTGAAAAAATAAAACCCGTGGAAAAGGGTTGTTTCGGGGCTAATGTGGCCAGCCTCAAACGCACCCTTGCAAAACCTGCCAATGGGCATCGCCACACCACTCTCGAAATAAGCAAATTGGGAATGAACTTTCGCATAGAACATGGCCAGATGCGCCCGCCGCATTTTTGTCTTTTTCACAATTCGAGGGTACCGTAGTGTGGCGAGGCCCAATTACCACCTCGCCCCACCCACTGCCGATACCCAGGAAACGACCTCTGCTTCCGTAAACGCACACGACAGCATACGACAAAAGCTCTCGGTGTGTATCGCAGGCTACTGGCTGCGAACACAACATACATAACATATAATACATAACATACATAACATACGTAACGTACATAACATAACATAAAAAGCCACCGTTTCTGTCCCGGGTCGTTGGTTTCTAATCCACTTGATTGGATTCTGTGACTACGTAATTGATCGCTTCCATCAGAGTCATCACGATGAGTAGCATCGGGACTGGGGTATGTGAAAGCAGCTCAGTGCATGTCCCTACCTTCTTCGGATACCTATTTGTGTTTTTCTCTGTCGTCGCTCTCATCGTCCTTCTCTTCTTCCTCCTCCTTTTCTTCCTCCTTTCTTTCCACTTCTTCCTCCTTTTTCTCTGATCGGCCCTCATTGCTCAGAAGGAAGGTTTGCTTGGTGGGCCGCAAGGCGTGGGTGTGTGGATAGCCCCCTGAGGATGATCGGAGCGCAACCGATCGAAACGCGTCGGGGAATGTGCGCGTTAGCTGAGATGTGTATGCGCGGAACTATAATGAAGAGCTATTGATGCGTGTACGAAAGGCAGTTGGCCACTGTTTACCACTACTCTTCTTCTTCCTCTTTCTTCATCCTTTCCTCCATATTTTTCTTCCTCCTTATCTTTCCCTTCTTCTTCTTCCTCGTTTGGGTGCTTTTTTTTTTTTTTTTTTTTTTTTTTTTTTTTTTTTTTTTTTTTTTT